GCCATCCAACCAAGCAAATACTTTATTTTTTCAACATTTTGCGGCTTTTATGTAAGAAAAATTTGTATGTGAATGTAGATCTAGATTTTTTACTTTTTACCATTTTAGCCCTCACCTTCTTATATTAACACAAATTATGTTCCAATTCATAACATCTATTGATAGAATCAGGCATGGGCAGTCATATACAGGTTTTTTGTTAACTCAGATCCATATTGATATCAGAGCCGGCTTGCGCGTTTTTAAGGAGAATTGAAGATAATATGTTAGTGTAAATGAACTTTCAATAAACAGTAGCGCGTATCTATCACATACAACAAATTAGAAAGAAGCCTAGACAGCCAGGAATTGTCACTTTTCTTCTTCATTCGACTTCACCCTCCACACCCACGATCGAATGCGGAGGCTTGCTCGTAATACAGTGTAATCAAATGATTATTTTCAAGAAACAGAGCGCTCCTACAGCTGGACACAGCACTCAATCCTAACCGAATGACATTTATCGAACTTTCCTGGTGGAAGGCAAGGCAGGAGATATACACATTGAAGCTTCGGAATATCAAGACTCATAACCTTGGGCTAATAAACAACGGGAAAATACCTCAATCTCTACTGATATTGAATGGAAAAAAACCAGAAAGATATTAGCGGAGCAAGATGGGGCATAGAAATCACAAACAGTGTGGTCCATTAGGCAGTCCAGCCTACTTGGAGGCGAGGCGGAGAGATTGTTAGTTCAGTTGAGACTCTGGAGTTGCAATAGACCTGCACTCATACCATTTAATTACAAGGCAATCAGTATAACCGTACTGTGATCAAAAAAAGTACCCACACAATTACTCTAGTTTGCAAACGAAACACTTTCCCAACCCCGATAAACTTTGGCAATATTGCAACTCTTTTCTCGCTATTCATCAGTCTTTGCTGGCTTCATCATGTAGTTCTCATAACTTCTATCTCATTTTGCTATCTGATCTGTTAGTCAATCAGTACTCAGTATCCGTCTATAAGAATCTGGAGCTAAGTCTCTGGATAATTCTCTCTCTTTCTATGATAAATACAGGTATATAAATTAATTCTAATACACTTTTTACGAATGAGTGTTTTAGGGATGCAGCTCACCATGAAATTTTTTCAGCATTTGCTGAAACATTAAAAGTTATGATACAGTAGCATTTATCTGGAAGTGCTTGGGATCCATAAGAAGATCATTTTATTTTTTAATATGCTTCCAGGTTATGTCTTTTTGTTTCTATACATCATATTGTTACCTATATGAAGTCTATAGGGATGCGAACCTAAGTTCACTAAGAAATATTAACAATTATTTTTTTTTTATTTTTATTTGAGACGAGTCCACTTTGTTGCCACAGGCATAGAGTATGCCGTGGTGCACTCACCGACAACCATCAAACTCCCTGGGCCCAAGCAACACCTGCCCATCAGCTCAAAGTATTCTTGGACTAACAGGCATTTGATGCACATGCCACGGAACTAATTTTTCTATATATATAGTAATGATTTGTCCAATTTTAATTATTTTCTTATTTTATGCCGCGTAGGTTGCTCATTGCCTGTATATTCCTATCAATTTGGACGTCCGAGGCGGGCGGCTATGCTCAAGTCCAGGAGTTGAAAGCCATAGTAAGCCTGAGCCGACAACCCACTATGTGCTCTACCAAGAGAATAAAACATTGACCATACTAAGAATATATTAATAATCACAAAAATTAGCGGGCAATATGGTGGCGATGAGCCTTACATGTCCAGCATACTTGGGAGCTGAGGCCAGTAGATCGCGAGCCCGATGAGATTGGTTGCTGTGAGCCAGGTGACCACGGCACTCACATCGCCTGGGCACAAAGTCGAACTCGTCTCAAAAAAAAAAAATTCTTCTATCTTATAGTAAGACGAGAGTCTCCTAGCCCTCTGGGAGGCCGAGGCGTTTTGGTTGGCTCAAGTTCGAACCCAGCCTGAGCAAGAGCAGACCCCGTCTGCTACTATTAAATAGAAAGATTAATTGGCCAACAATTATATAGAGAAAAATTAGCCGGCAATGTGTTGGCGCCATGCCTGTAGTCTCCAGCTACTCGGACGGCTTGAAGCAGTAGATCGCTTGAGCCCAGGAGTTTGAGGTTGCCTGTGAGCGAGGCCTGGACACCATGGCATTCACTCTAGCCTGGGACAAAAGCAAGACTGTCTTAAAAAAAAAAAATATCATGGTGGCACATGCCTGTAGTCCCAGCTTCTCGGGAGGCTGAGGCAGGAGGATCGCTTGAGCCCTGGAGTTTGCGGCTGCTGTGAGCTATGGTGACACCAGTGCACTCCAGTCTGGGTGACAGAGTAAGACCCTGCCTCAAAAAAATAAATAAAGTCCTTATCATTAAAACATATGTACTTGCTAGGTGATGGGTACATGGGGGTTATTATTCCATCTGTTCTCATTTGTGCTTGAAATTTTCAGATTAAAAAAATTCCAGTATATACAAACACAATGAGTAAGATATGCAACATTTGGGGGATGGTCACGCTTGAAGCTCTAACTCGAGGGGGGAGGGGGGCCATGGGCAATATACTTAACCTTAACATTTATACCCACATAATATGCTGAAAAAAAAATTCCAAACTTTAAAAAAAGACAGGAAGCAGTTCCCAAAATTTTATTAAGATGGAATCACTGCTGATTACACAGAAGCTACTTGCCTAAGCCAAAATCCATGAGGTTCATATGAACTTTTACACAAATTAAAAACAAATGGCATATTCAAAACCATAAGGAAGTATCCTGATGTCCAGGTGATGAAGGCTGAGGTGAATGAGTCTGCACATTTATTTCAGGCTGTTGAAGAGTTTGTGGGCCACCTAGATGGGGAAAAGAAAAGGATGTCATCAACTGGCAGCTTTAATGTCATAGCTTACAAGGTCCTTCATGACCTGAAATAGTATCGCCTCTTTTCTCACTACTCCTCACACACTCTCACCACACTTGAGCCCTAGTGAACTCTCTTCTATCTAGAACTCAACTTTGTTCATCTTTATTTTTCCTTTAGATCTTAAGTGGACATGTCACTTCTATAAACAAGCCACTATCCCTACACAAATCTGTCTCTCCTCTGTCTTCCCATAGAAACATGTATCTCCCATCACTGTTAATATTACATATTAATTCAACAGGTATTTATAGAACACCTACTATATACCAACTACTGTTCTAAGTGCTGAGTGAGTTACAGCTGTAAACATCTCTGTCACTTATGGTACTTACAGAGTAATAAGGGAAATATAAACACATAGCACTCTGGGAGGCTGAGGCGGGTGGATTGCTCAAGGTCAGGAGTTCAAAACCAGTCTGAGCAAGAGCGAGACCCTGTCTCTCCTAAAAAAATAGAAAGAAATTAATTGGCCAACTAAAAATATATAAAAAATTAGCCAGGCATGGTGGCGCATGCTTATGAACCCAGCTACTCAGGAGGCTGAGGCAGAAGATCACTTGAGCCCAGGAGTTTGAGGTTGCTGTGAGCTAGGCTGATGCCATGGCACTCTAGCCTGGGCAACAGAGTGAGACTCTGCCTCGAAAAAATAAATAAATAAGGTAACTTCTGACAGTGGTAAATGGCAAGAGGAAAATAAAATAGGGGGAGAGTAAACCTCAGTGGCTTTAAATACGGAAGTTCAGTGAATGCTACCTTGAGGTTACACCTGAGGGACTTACCACAATTTAGTAATTGTTCTGCTTTTGTCCCTTATGCTGGCTCATAAATTCAGTAAAGGAAGGGACCATGTCTGTGTCACTCCCAGATTCTAACCCAGTGCTTGGTTTATAAATATATTTAAGTATTTGTTGAATGACTGCAAAGTAAGAAGAGGAAAATCACCAAGAGGGCATGTAATAAAGGAACAGGTCAGGCATGGTGGCTCACGCTTGTAATCCTAGCACTCTGGGAGGCTGAGGTGGGAGGATCGCTCAAGGTCAGGAGTTCAAAACCAGCCTGAGCAAGAGTGAGACCCTGTCTCTACTATAAAAATAGAAAGAAATTAATTGGCCAACTAAAAATATATAGAAAAAATTAGCCGGGCATGGTAGAGCATGCTTGTAGTCCTAGCTACTCGGGAGGCTGAGGCAGGAGGATCGCTTGAGCCTAGCAGTTTGAGGTTGCTATGAGCGAGGCTCATGCCATGGCACTCTAGCCCGGGCAACAGAGTGAGACTCTGTCTCAAAAAAATAAAAAATAAAAAAAGGGAACAGATCATGATTTGCCTATTTTAGACATTTCGTATAAATGGTATCATGCGGTATGTGTGACTTTGTGACTAGCTTCTTTCCCTTAGCATGTAGCATAATGTTTGCAAGGTTTATCCATGTTATGGCAAGTTTAGCACTTCATTTTTTTAATATGTGGGATATAAATAAATGAATGGACATTTTATGGGAGCCCGAGGCGAGCGCATTGCTTGAGGTCAGGAGTTCGAAACCAGCCTGAGCAAGAGCAAGCCCATCTCTACTAAAATAGAAAGAAATTAATTTTCCACTATATATATAGAAAAATTTAGCCAGGCATGGTGGTGCATGCTTGTAGTCCCAGCTACTCGGGGGCTGAGCAGAAGGATTGCTTGAGCCAGAGTTTGAGGTTGCGTGAGCTAGGCTGATGCCATGGCACTCATCTAGCCTGGGCAACAAAGCGAGACTCTGTCTCAAAAAAAAAAATCTGGCGGCGCGGTGCTCACGCTGTATCCTAGCACTCTGGGAGGCCAGGCGGCGGAATGCTCGAGGTCAGGAGTTCGAAACCAGCCTGAGCAAGAGCAAGACCCCGTCTCTACTACAAATGGAAAGAAATTAATTGGCCAACTGATATATATATAGAAAAAATCAGCGGGCATGGTGGCAATGCTGATAGTCCACTCTTGGAGGCTGAGCAGAGATTGTTGAGCCAGAGTTTGAGGTGCTGGTGAGCTAGGCTGAGCGATGGCACTCACTATCCTAGGGCACAAGAAGACTACATGTCTCAAAAAAAAAAAAAAAAAAAAAAAAAATGCCATTTTAATCATTTTTAACTGTATATTTCTCTGACATTAAGTATATTCACATTGTTCTAAAAACCATCAATCTCAGGAACTTTTTCATCTTCCTAAACTGAAACTCTGTATCCACTAAACAACAATTCTCCATTGTTGGCTACCACCTCTCCACATCTCTCCACATCTCCTGGCTACCACCATTCTACTGTCTTTATGAATGTGACTACTCTAGGTACCCCATATAGGTAGAATGATATATTTGTCCTTTGTGACTGGATTATTTCACTTAGTATAATGTCCCAAAGGTTCACCAATGTTGCAGCATGTGTCAGTTTCCTTTACTTTTAAGGCTGAATAATACCCCATTGTATGTATATAGCACATTTTATTTATCCATTCATCCACCAATGGATACTTGGATTATTTCTACCTTTTGGATATTGTAAATAATGCTACTATTAACATAAATGTACAAATATCTGTTTGAGTCTCTACCCTCAGTTCTTTGGGGCACATACCCAGAAGTGGAATTGTTAGATCATATGGTAATTCTACATTTAATTTTTTTGAGGGGGAAGGGGAGTCTCGCTCTGTTATCCATGCTAGAGTGTAGTGGCATCATCATAGCTCATTGCAACCTCAAACTCCTGAGTTTGAGCAATCCTCCTGCCTAGCCTCTCAAGTAACTAGGACCATGGCTAGCTAATTTTTCTATTTTTTGTAGAGATCGGGTTTTGTACTCCTGGACTTAAGTGATTTTTCCCACCTCAGCCTCTCAAAGTGCTAGGATTATAGGCATGAGTCCTCTATGCTTACTTTGTTTGAGAAAAGTACTTGATTTTTGGCTAGGCACAATGGCTCACACCTGGAGTCCCAGCACTTTGGGAGGCCGAGGTGGGAGGACCAGTTGAGCCCAGGAGTTTGAGAGCAGCCTCCACAATATACCAAGACCCCATCTCCACAAAAAATAAAAAAGTTAGCCGGGCATAGTGGCATACACCTGTAGTCCCAGCTACTAAAGGAGACTGAGGCAGGAGGATCACTTGAGCCCAGGAATTTGAGGTTGCAATGAACTATGATGACACCACTAGCCCAGACAACAGAGGAAGTCCCTGTCTCAAAAACAAATAAAAAAATACTTAATTTTTCTTTATTGCTGATATACCATTTTATGGATATACCACATTTTATTTATCCATTTATCAGTTGATAGACATCTATGTTTCCACTTTTTGGCTATTACGAATAATGCTTCTATGAACATTTGTGTACAAGTTTGTGTGTAGACACATTTTCATTTCTCTTGGCTATACACCTAGGAGTGGAACTGCTGGGTCATATGTTAACTCTATGTTTAGTCCTCTGAGGAATTGCCAGGCTGTTCTCCACAGTGGCCGTAACAACTTACAATCCCACCAGCAGTATTTCTAGTTTTTCCAAATCCTGTCCAAGGTTTGTTATGTTTTATTGATTATAGCCATCCTAGTGGGTATAAAGTGGTATCTCATGGTACATTTCATTGGTATTTCCCTAATGGCTAATGATGTTGAACATCTTTTCATATTTTTATTGGCCACCCAGTCTGTTTTAATAGAAGCAACCATATTAAATTCTGCCTACATGTAATTTATATAATACCGGATACTAAAAAAAAAAAAACAACTTTCTGTAGCATCTACTATGTATAAGACACACTGGAGAATATAAATTATTTTAAAGAAGTGTCTGTTACTTAAGAGTACAAAATCCAGCTTCCCCGCTGTTTAGCAATGTTAAGTTCGGATATTCATTTTTCTTCTCTGAGCCTTAGTTTCTATCTGTAAAATGGGGACAATGATACCTATCTCCAGTGGAAGTGATAAGGATTAGGTAAGATTATTTATGTAAAATGCTTGGCACTGTACCTGACGTGTGTTGAGTCAACAGTAAATATTCATTACTGGCCCTGCCCCTAGCATAGAAAGGTTGTCAGCACCAAGTCTTCCCTGGCCACCATAAGCTTTCCCCTTCCTGACTTCAGATTGACTTACACAGTGGTCCCTTGCATGCAAGAAGTCAAAGAGCTCCTCTGTGCAATCCTCTTCTGTATGTGACCGGGAGGAGACACGCTCATCACAGAGCTCTAGCCGCTCCCGGGCCTTTACACATTTCTCCAGCTGCTCGCATTGTTCTCTCACTGTTGTTAGGGGATCCTGATGGAGAAACAGAAAAAGAATAAAATGGTTATTTCAGGGGAGACCCACCAAACACATATGCTTTGATTAATACAACCACCAAACCAAGGTGCTGCCTCTGAATTACCGTGCAGAAGGCCAGCTGGCAGAGCCACACTGCCACCAGACATGGCAGAATGGGGTCTCCCATTCAATTCTGATGCTAAGTAGTAGGGAAAAGTTTCACATTCCTGCCTTCCAAGGTTGCCAGTATGTACTGAAAGCCTCAGTCCTATCTGAAAAACAAGGTGGTAAAGGAAACCTGGCTAAACAAAGTAGACCTATAGGAGGCCTTACTTGTTAACATAGTATTTTGGGATATGGCATGTCTAAAATTTCAATTCTCCTTCTCTGAGAACCAGGCCTATGCACCCCAGCTGCCCAGCTAGAAAGGCAGTGCTAACACAGAGACCGTCTGAGAAAGGACCGTCTAAGAAAGGTTCCTTCTTTATAAACCATGAATAGCAGATGACTGAGTGCCAGGGCCCCAAGATGCTGTCTGCTCACTCATATCACAACTGAAGAAGCCCCAAACCAAGAACAGACACAGATCCCAGACCATACCCCTAAATACCCCATTACATGGAAAATATTAAAACTTATTCCACCCCTATTCTCTCTAAGGTGTCCTTCAAATGCCTTTAGTTTCATGATGCTCAAACTGCCTGCTTTTACTGAGACAGTTCCAAACCTGAGACAGCTCTTACCACTAATTCCTCCTCTTCCTCTTCCTCCTATAAAAGGAAAACAAAATTAATGTCAGCAGCAATTTTATGGCATGGTTATTCCCAATAATATTGATGATGTAATTACTGATGATAAACATTCTATTGATCATGTTATTTTCATGTGTTATTGATCATGTGTTTTATGACATTTTGACATCTTAGGGGCCTTGCTAATCCTGCCCTCCCAGGGCTAGTTAAGTTTTTGATAGCAAACAACTTGCCTGGTAGCATACTTCTCATATGCAACCCAATCAATCAAAACCCTTGTAGTCTACCACCTCCTTTACCTGAGTCTTATACACCAAGCTCATATTTCCCTTTGTCTAAATCACCACTGGATCAAATACAGTACAACTAGGAACCAGCCCTATAGCCCAGAGCCCAATGAAATTATTCAAACTATCTAATCCCAAATTTAATTAAGCTTGCCTACCCTGCCTCATCCATTTTTTCTCACAGAAACCAAGGCTCTGAGCCATGCTTCCTACCCCCTCACTTCTGCCTCCTGACCAGCCCTGACACTTCCCTATGTAGCCCTGCACTGTGTGGTATGTCCCCTTCTCTTAGGAATTGTAATAAACTCTTTTTTCAAAACCAGTTGTCTCCATATCTGTCACATTACAGTACCTGATTAAAACAAATCCCAAGTACATTTCAATTCAAGACAGAGACACCATCTTACTTTCATTAGCAGGAACCTAAGTATGCTTAACACTCTACAGTTTATAAAGCACCTTCTTATGTGTCATGATTTGATCACAATAGTTCCTTAAGGAAGTAATCCCAGTTTAGAGATAAGAAACCATAATTAGGGCAGCAAGGTGGCTCATGCCTGTAATCTTTGCACTCTAGGAGAACCAGACAGGCGTATCAAGGCCAGGAGTTCGAGACCAGCCTGAGCAAGAGCGAGACCCTGTCTCTACTAAAATTAGAAAGAAATTAATTGGCAAACTAAAAAGATATAGAAAAAAATAGCCAGGCATGGTGGCGCATGCCTGTAGTCCCAGCTACTTGGAAGGTTGAGGCAGAAGGATTGCTTGAGCCCAGGAGTTTGAGGTTGCTGTGAGCTAGGCTGATGCCATGGCACACTGGCCAGGGCAACACAGTGAGTCTCTGTCTCAAAAACAACAACAACAAAACGTAATTAGACATTTTCTGATATAGATTCAAGTTGTTAGATGTTCATATGGCACCTACATAAAGTATTTTGTTCTCTATTCTGGTAAATCTTAGTAGTGCTAGAAATATTACTAAGTTTAGTTCTTACATCTCGCATAAAGTAAGGAGGAAAGCCATTTTTTCTAGACTCTGAACTTGAATTTGGAATATGAAAATGGACAAACCTAAACTCTTCTCTAGCCAGAGCTTAACTGAAGATGGTTATGGTCACTGTGTTTTGACTTGCTGAATTCCCAGAACCCTAAGACTAACCATTAATATAAGCGCACCAAAGGTCTACACAACTCCACCCACAGGCTTGGAAACACAGGCCCTATCTATTTACTTCTGATTCAAGTGCATAATCTCAAACTTAGTTTTCTTTCTTCCAACAGGAGCACTGTAAAATATTCCCCATGCATCACCACAGGCCTAAATCTGGAGCATAGCAGAGTCTGATCAGTGTCTCAATGCTCATCAGAAATAAGGTTTACCTGCCTATGCATGCAAGTGTCCATGTTTGGGAGAAAGGAAAGAAAAGGTATATACAGAAATAAAAAGAATAAGTTCAAAATCCCAGTATAATCTGTTTCATTCTCTACCATGCCATTCAGGGAAGAGACCAAAGCTCGCACAGGCTGGGAATGAGGGGTAGGGCAGGTTCAACTGTAACCCTGCCTATTTTTTTTTGAGACAGAGTCTCACTTTGTTGCCCAGGCTAGAGTGAGTGCTGTGGCGTCAGCCTAGCTCACAGCAACCTCAATCTCCTGGGCTCAAGCAATCCTACTGTCTCAGCCTCCCAAGTAGCTGGGACTACAGGCATGCACCACCATGCCTGGCTAATTTTTTATTTTTATTTTTTGTATATATATTTTTAGTTGGTCAATTAATTTCTTTCTATTTTTAGTAGAGATGGGGTCTTATTCAGGCTGGTTTCGAACTCCTGACCTTGAGCAATCTGCCCGCCTTGGCCTCCCAGAGTGCTAGCATTACAGGCGTGAGCCACCACGCCAGGCCTAACCCTGGCTATTTATTCTCACAATTGGCAAAGGTTTCTTCTAAACATGAAGATTCTATTTAGGATGTAAATTCTAGTTTTTCGTTAAACAAGGTTTCTTAATTTTACTCTTTTAAAGAAAATTACATTCTGCCCGAGTCAGAAGCGAGAAATTAGTATACTAGAAGCAAGACCTTTATATCATTTCCCAATTAGCAATGCTACAACATTGATAATTTTGTGTCAAAAATATCATGGCACATTTTAGAAAAACAAATCCAAATATAAATCTGAATATGGACTGCTTCATATAAAAATTCTAATCAATGAGAAAAACCAAGGTCATACTAAATAAAAAATTTAATCCTCTAGAATTATGGGTTCTTCATAAAATACTTCCATTTTCTTAATTTTAAAATTGACTGCATATTTACTTTATTTTTCTCATCTACTGCTGTGCTGGGCCTGCCTGAATTTTGTGAGTCTGGCTCCACTTCTTTCTGAAAATAATAAGAGTAGGAAAAATTAAGAGATAAGTGAGTTAACAACTATTCTGAATCCATAAGCCCAGAATGGCTACCTTGAAGTGACCAGAGAACAAATGAACAGACGAGAAATGAAATTGGAAACAAAAAGCTAATAGCTTTTGTAAAGCACTGTGGTAAGAGTCCTGGCTCTAGAACTACACTTTCTGGATTCAACCCAAGAGCCAATTTGTTAGCTGTATCCTTAGACAAGATATTTAACATCCATGCTTGTTTCCTCATCTCTAAAAAAGGCAATAATAATAGTACCTAATACCTCATAGAAATATTGTGTACACTAAATGAATTAGTACACAGAAAGTACTTGGAATAGCAAGCAGTCAATAAAAACTTATTATACAGGCATTCTTACTCTGGGAAAGCGCTCCTTCTTTCATCACAGAATTATACTACATTCCTACACTGTCCCCAAAGAATAACCTCTCTCTGCCCTCAAAGAAAAAGAAACCACTTTTTCACAGAACTCTTGTAAGGCCAGATCTCCTGATCTTCCAAAGAAGATGTGGTAGGGATTTCTGACCTGAGCTAGGGTAAAGTTGGTCTGTTTGCTCCCCAAACGTGTCAAAACAGGGCCTCAGAACACATGAATGATTGAAAATATTTTTTACAAGAGTTTAGTCAATACAGTATTTTCGCTCTCGTTAAACCTTCACATTTATAGAATATGGAAGCTGAGGCCCAGAGAAAGACTATTTGCCCAAAGTCACTCGACGAATTCTGGGGAAGGGTCGAGGGAACCAGCTCTACTGACCCTGCAAATCTAAGAGGAGAAAGCAGGGCTAGGAGGGCCCCAGGCAAGTTTGGGCGGGCTGCGTCCTGGGCCTTAGAAAAGAGAGTCGAGTCGATCACCTTGCCTTACCTCCTTGGGATCCCCAGAACCAGTCAGCATCTTTTGTTTGTCCTCCAGACCCATGTCCAGCTACGGTTCTGGATTCAACACGAGCAGTAACAGCGGCACCTAACACACTTCAGGATCAAGAAGGACTCGTAAGGGTCACTCAGCGGATATCCGGCGATCTGGCCGGAAGTGCGGCATACTCAATCGTAGTCGCGAACACACGCTCAGATTGGCACATACTACTAGCCTCGGGCAGGGGTTAGGGGTAGCTGGTATTTGCACCTGAGGAAGCTTTGCTAAGAAACATCCTCTTAGTCACGCCAGACCCAAATATATCGATCTAGGAGTATACTTAAAATAGTAATTCCTGAGAGACTTGGGAAATGTGCTAATTTATTTGACATTTCTTTAGCGTAGTTCACATTCTTACCCATATCGCTTATGGAGCCGTCCTAACTGCTGACCTTTTCAAGATGGCGGTCCGAGGACGCCACTTTTGGGCTCGCGCACCTCCCCAAGATGGCGGCGCCCGAGGCCTGGCGCGCCCGGAGTTGCTGGTTCTGTGAGGTAGCGGCGGCAACGACCATGGAGGCCACGTCCCGGGAGGCGGCGCCAGCGAAGAGCTCGGCCTCGGGCCCCAACGCTCCCCCCGCCCTGTTCGAGCTGTGCGGGCGGGCGGTGAGCGCCCATATGGGGGTTCTGGAGAGCGGGGTGTGGGGTAAGTCGCGGGGTGAGGGGCTACCTCTGGCAACGAGCGGGGGGCGGCCCGGCGGCCGGGGGGCGCGGGGGGCGAGGCCGGGAGGCCCGGGGCAAGGCCCTGCCTGGGGCACTGGAAGCGAGATCATTAGGTCAGAGCATGAATTCCGAGACTGACAGGGCTGGGCAGTAAAGACCGAGATCAAATGGACAGGTGGACCCGCACCGCGGCCTGGCTGAGGGGCGCGGGGGGCGAGGCCAGGAGGCCGGGTCTGAGGCGAAGCAGGCAGGGCCCGGGCGACAGAGGCTGGACTGGCGTGCCGGAGCTGTGGGCTCCGGACTGACACTCGGCTTGGCTGGGCTGAGGAGTCTCGGATGTCGAACCGGTGGGCAGGGATGGCCCACCTGCCCGGGGGCAGGGGCCGAGGTTGGGAGGCCTGGCCTAAGGCAAGGAGGCCAGGCCTGGGGCCACCTAACCTGACCGACGGCCAGGGGCCTCGGGTATCTGTCTGATACACCAGGGGTACCGAGACTCCGGAGGCCAAGCCGATGGGCGGGGGCAGGACAGCGGATTGGAGTGCAAGGGAACGGGGCTGGGGGAGAGGCCGAAAGGCTCGGGGCGCCGCGGCCTTTCAGACGGCCCAGGACTGACGGAGCGAACTGACGACCGAAACTGATTGAGCGACTGACTGACCGGCAGGGCACGGAGCACCAGAGGCCACTCGGATGGGCTCAAACGGCGAGAAGGGCCTGAGAGCAAGTAGAGGGGGGCCTGGAGCGCCTTAGCAAACGAGGGAGGCTCCAATGACGGACAGGCGGGAAGGGCCAAGGGGGCCCCAGGCGGGGCGACGGCCTGGGGATCCCGGACCGACGGGTTGGAATGGGAGAGGGGCGCGTCGCTGCGAAAAGGGCTTAGTCCGAATGGGAGTGAACCGAGGCCCCAGGCCTGAAGGCGGCCGGGACCGAAGTGCCTGGCCCTCGGTGGAGGGCTGAACAGCGAAGGCGGGCGGCCCGGGGCACAGAGATGAGCTGCTGGGAAGAGTGAACAGACCAATTGGGCTGGCGGGCCGGGAGTCCGGGCCCGGCCGGCCGGCCGGGTAACGGAGGAGCGGAGGCCTGCTGCCCTGGGGAGGCCAGGCTGTAGGGTGGGTACCACTGGCCGTGGCCTGGCAGCTGATGAGGGAAACTGGGGCCCGCGACCTGAGGAGAATAAAAGGGAAAGAGAAGGCTCTGCGAAGCTGGCCTGGCTGCCCAGGGGACTAGGGAGGCCTTGGGCCCGACAGGCTGGTGGTGTGAGGGGGGTGGGGTCCAGAGGCCAGGACTAAAGTTGGGTAAGGATATCTCAGGCCAGGCGGAGGGCCTGGGGTTGGGGGTGGCAGGAGAGGAGGCCCTGGGCCTTGGGGGAAGGGGGTTGCACACAAGGAGGCCTTAGGAGTGTGGCAGTGGTGTCTTTGCCAGGAGGAAGGCCCTGGTCGGGTCAGGAGTAAGGGCTTGAGGCCTGGGAGGGGGTTAGGGGGATGCATTACACTCTGAGAGGGTGGCTATAGTGAAAAGACCTTGGAGTTTGGGGAGTTGGAATAAGCTCCAGAATAAGCCCTAAAGCTGTGGAGGCCCTTGGTGGTGGGAACGGGGCACCAATACTGATGAGGCCCAAGTGCCTTCCTGTAGTAGGGGGTGGGGACAAACTGCTAGAAGGCCTCAGGCCCTGTGGGTGGGGACTGTGGAGGCCCTGTGCCAGCCAGGAAAGAAGGGTCAGGCTGGACCCTTGGGGAATGGGAGAAAAGTCTCAGTGGAACTGAGCAGGGTGCTCAGAGAGATCCTAGGGAATGTGGAAGAAGGCAGAGAGGGTCTGGCTGTGTCACCCTGGATCTTCTGGGATACTAAACCTGGCTAGAAAGGAAGACAACTGGGTGTAGAGGCCACAAGTTAGGAAGAGGAGGCATTAAACGTATAGGCTAGAAGGAAGCAAGGAGGAACCTGGCTTAAGAAGATTGGAGAAAGGAAGAGAGGAGTTTGTGGGTAATAGGGAATGAGAATTCCTGTGGCTGTGACAGGGGATGGCTAAATAGAGGAGAGCGGATTGGAGAGAAAGGGGGTAAGGCTCTGGAGGAAGTTCTTTGTTGCCTCTTCCCCCCAAAACAAACAAGTGACAGTTTACTGAATCTCCTTTTCCTCCTCCCTTCCCCCACCACTGCTGTACATATTACCACCATTATTACTGGTTGAGCCCCAAGCCAGGTTGAGAGGAGACAGGGGAGAAAGAGCTCCTGTGGGCCTAGACCAGGTAAACAGTCACACAGAAAAAGTGAATCAAGTAAGGCCTTTAAGAGGTAGGGTCAAGTAAGAGGCCCAGTAAGCCGTGCTATTTTGGAGGAAGGTGAGTGTGAGCTAACAGCCATGAAAAGCTTCCCTGAGGTTGTGGACTAGCATTGCTTTGTGTAATGAGTGGGGGTAGGTGAGTGAATACAGGCAGCAGGAATGGGTACAAAGAGGAAACTTAAGTAGAATAAGGTATAGTATACCTTTCATGCCAGAATATGGAGTTTGGACTTTATTTGTTTATTTATTTATTTATTTTATAGAGATAGGGTCTTGATCTTGCTGAGGCTACTCTCAAACTCCTGACCTCAAGCAATCCTCCTGCCTCGGCCTCCCAGAGTGCTAGGATTACAGGCATGCCCTGCCATGCCTGGCCCTGGACTTTATCTTGAATGCAATGGAGAGCCTTTGAAAGGTTTTGAAGAGGGGAATGTCATCAGCAAGAGCAGGATGAAGAGAGAGTAGAGAGAAACCAAGGTCAAGGAGAGCATTAGACTGTTGCAGTAGTCTACATGAATAATGATGATGCCTACATTAGTGTAATTGCATAGGAAATTAACAGTTTCATTCAGCAGGTACGTTGAGTACCTACTATGTACTAAGAATTATGCTAGATGCTTGAATATCAAGATTCACTTATTCCACAAGTAAATATAAAAGGAGATCCTGGAATGGAAGTTTTGGTATACGCCGAGATATTAGACTTGTTCTTGATAGGACAGAGATGTTATTGACAGGATAAAAATAATAATAGCCAAGAACATTTAGTGAGCTTATTATGGCCAGGCATTGTTTTGAACAGATTACAAGCATGATCTCCTTTAATCTTCATGACAATGTGAGATAGCTATTATTATCTCCATTTTAAAATTGGGGAAACTGAGGCTTAAAGAGGCTTAAATAATTTGTCCAAGGGTTCATTTTAACTAAGTGTTACAGTCAGGATTTCACCTAGATTTGTCCAACTCTAGAGATTAAGCCCTTTGTTACTATACTATAATGCCTCTCAGAACTAGAGTAGTTGGAAAGAGTAGGTTTTGTTTTTAAGGTATATTGAATCGATTATAGATGTTAATTATCTCTATTCTTCATAGAACAGTACTAGTTCAGGGTATAGCAGTTTCCCAAAGGATGGAAGTGGTTAATCTGGAAGAATGGGAAAGGAATTCAGGAAAGACTTAATAAAGGGCATGTGATACTTGAAAGATGAGTAGTTGAAAGTGGCAAGGACATTCCTGTTGGAGAGAACAACATGACAAAGGTACAGAGACAGAAAGCAGCATAATATGTTAAGTAAATGAAAAAAGTAGTTTAGTGTGGCTGAGGTGTAGGAGGCAAAGCAGGGAGCTGAAGTTAGTAGGGTAGATTATGAAGAACTTTTTATAATATATATTCAAGTAGTAGGACTAGGACCTTTTCAATGCGGAATGGTTCATTATGTTTGGGCAGAAGTGAACTGACCAGCTCCTAAATGAGCATGTCAAGCTCATTTAGCATATCAGTTTGTTTTGTGGGATTATCTCACCCTTGCCCCTGAAATTCCAGCTCCCAACTGAGTGGCTGAAGATAAGTGGGCCAGAGTTTGGAATAGACTTAGATTAGCTTCTATAAGTTCCATTTATCAAATAAGTCCACCCTTGCATTTTTCTTTCCAATAGGATAAATAATACTTGGAACCCTGTGGGGGTGGGGGGGAAGTAAACTTTGTGTTTTGGTTTTTGTAGCCCTCCCAGGCCCAATACTTCAAAGCATCTTACCTCTGCTGAATATATATTACTTGGAGAGGATTGAGGAGACTGCCCTCAAGAAAGGTGAGTGTCTTTCTGTCTCTATCTCAGGCTTCATGATATTTTTCAGGTAAATATTACACCTGATACTAGCATAGAACTTCATGCTTTTCAAAAAGTATCTTCACACCTACTTTCTTTCTGATTCCTCAGTGTCCTGTGAAACATAAAGCAAGTATATAATCCTTATTATACTGATAAAAGTAAGATACAGGCACACCATAATTAAAAGCAAAAGCCAGAACTAGAACCTAGATCTTCTAAATTTTAGTTTGTCTATTTAACCAAGGTGCCTCCCCTCATTGGACACATCCATTAATGGCTAGCATTTAACTCTGATGTGTCAAGCACTGTCCTAGGCACTTTACCCAGAGAAACTAATTTAATCCTTTCAACAACCCTATTATTATCTATTTTTTTTTA